GTTGTCAGGCAGAACGTACAAAGGCTCCTAAGTTGACCCCCGAACGTTCGGGCGTTCGGTTCCCCATATGAGGCCCGAACCTTAAGGTTTTCGGACCTCACAAAACAATATTATGGCACCAAAATATATAATATAATTTTTTTTGAATTTTATTTTTGAGTTTTTTGTGATGTAAGGTATGTCTCTCTTAATTTTGAAGTTATTTTATTCACCTAAACAAAAATAAAAAATCGGCAAAGATGGTGGTGTCAAAACTTGCTTGCCAACTCACTAATTTGGTTTTTTTTTTTTTACTTTTTATTTCTCGTTTATTTCGGGGCATAAAAAAAATTATTAATTTTATGAATCTCTATTATGTAAGATACACATACATAAATTTTCATGACATTTGTCATAGCGGAAAAAAAAAAAAATCACCAAAGATGACGACATAAAAAACATGCTCACCCACTCAATAATTTAGTTCTCGTTGTTTTTTTTTTTTTTTTCATTTGATTTTTATTTCAAATGTAGCAAAAAATTTGGATGTAATGTTGAGGCAAATATTGTTTAGTTTATTCTTCTGTATAGCATTTTTTTTTTTTTTTTAATTATTTTTTTGTTTTCGCGTTCGATCGAATAACCGAACGCGTCGAGAGGGGGTGTCGAATATTCGAACGTTCGGGTTCAGCCCGTCCTGAACGTCGGCAACCCTTGTCATGAATATATAAAAAATAATTCAAGATGAAATTATCATACAATATATATTAAAAAAGGTAGACAACAAGGTATAAAAAAATATTATAACGAATCTTCATATGAATCATACACTCTATATGTAAAATGTTAATATTATATTTTCATTCATCTGCTTATATCTTACAGTAAAGGAATTCATTAAAATTAACAAATTAATCTAATAACAGGTCGTTCCACAACATATCAACGAGACATATAAAAATATATAAACAGTAATTTGACAAAAAAATCAATAAACTAGGTGTAATTATAAAAACAATCACGATAGTAAAATACAAAAATAAATCAGTAACATGCAACGCTATCAAACTAATAAAGGAAAAGTATTGAAGCAATTAAGATGATAAGATACAACTCAAAATAATAAAACATGAATATCACCCTAGGCTACCAGAGTGGCCCGGGGTCACTTGTCCGGCCGGGCCAAAAAAAATAAAAATAATAAAAATAAAGAACTTATTTTTAAGTTTTATTTTATATTTTAAAATTGGTGAAGAATTTCGATGTGACCCTGAGGCGAAAGTTGTTCAGTTTATTTTGAATTTTTTTGAATTTTTTGTTTTTTACTAGGAACTTACCTGGTCCTTACACCGGCTGGCCACCCAGGACCCGGGCCGCCCGGCTGGTAGCCTAGGTATCACTGGAAAAAAAAGTGACCGATCTACAAAATAATCAATATATTTTATAAAATTTATTCGATTATAATTTTTAAAACCCAAGAAGCTTAAGTAACCCATATATCTTGCATGTTGTAACTTTCACCTAACATCATTATCAAAACGGTAATAGTCATAAAAACAGTGGGAATCAATATTAAATAAATAATTATATATTTTTTTTTAAAAAAACCTAGTTATCAATAATGTTTAAATTTAAGCATTATATCTTAATTTGTTAAAATAAATATATCAATACGTTGGGTAATAATTAAAACATGAAAGATACAACAATGAGCATAAACACAAATATAAGCACGTGTACAGTTCATTTTATAAATAAACTGTTTGCTTAGGCTACCAGAGTGACCCGGGGCCACTTACTCGTCGAGCAAAAACGAATTAAAAGATAAAAAATAAAAATTATGTTTTAATTTAATTGTTATTTTTAATTTTGTAAGGAATTTTAATGTCACCCTGAGACAGAAATTGTTCAATTTTTTCTTCTGCATAATTTATTTATTTTTTCCAGATTTTTTGGATTTGTAGTTAGCTTTTTTATTTTGTTTTAAAACCTTATGTGGTCCTTGCACGACCAAGCCGCCCAGAAAAATAGGGTGACCTGGGCGTCTCGGCTGATAGATTTACTGTTTACGTGATTTTCAAGTATATTTAATTTCTATGATAATTATTATAATATGTAAGATACGCAATGCACAAATGGTCATCATCTGTGATGCACTAAGACTTAATATGATACATAATATAGTTTTATAATAATTTACTATAACGAAAAAAAATTAAAACAAAAAATAAATTGTGAAACTCGTTATATACAATAGTTACGTCAACACATAAAAAACATAATAAACATATGCGCAATATAAGCAGCTCTTTGACAATAAAAAATGTAGGAGCGTAGGCTACCAACATGGCTTATGACCACTTGCTCGACCAAATCCTTAAACATATCTATATACTAGTTCATAGTGACCTGAAACCATTTGCCAGGACGGTCAGGCTACCATCCGCGCCGCTCGGATCTAGGATGGCCAGCCCATGCAAGGACTAGAAAAGGTCCCAGCAAAAAAAAAAAAACTCAGAAAAAAAAAAAAAAAACTATGTTATGCAGAAAAATAAATTGAACAACTTTTGCCCCAGGGTCACATCGAAATTTTGTACCAAATCTAAAATGTAAACTAAGATTTTACAATATTTTTTTTATTATTATTTTTTTAATATTTTTGGCCCAATCGGGCAAGTGATCCCGGGCCACTCTGGTAGCCTAGCCAAACGAGCAAATATATATATATATATATCGTTATAAATAGAACTGCCCGGTAAACCGTAGGAAGAGAGAGAGAAGCGGACAACAAACGAGGGGTTGTGACAAACTGTTTCGTCGAAGTTTCACCGTATATATATATATATATATA